TGGCTGCACCAGGGCCATGCCCCTCATGGAAGGTTCGCTTTCCTGCTTATCTAGTCTCAGGTGTTACAGTTTTTCTTGTTATGTATTGCACAGAGAGATAGCCTAACTGGTTCTTGCTGCTGCAAGGTCAAGTCATTAATTTACAAGGGTTTATCTTATAACTGGACACCTTTTTGGTTTCTCTTACAAGATGTGCTGGTTGTTGCTTCTCTTGGATTTTCTACATTGACATTTTACCACTGAAAATAATGACAAATTTGTCTTTTCCTTTCTTTTTTTCTTTTTTTTTTTTCTTTTTTTGAGACGGATTCCCATTCTGTTGCCCAGACTGGAGTGCAGTGGTGTGATCTCCACGCACTGCAACCTCTGACTCCCAGGTTCAAGCGATTCTCTTGGCTCAGCCTCCCGAGTAACTGGGGTTACAGGCGTCCACCACCATGCCAGGCTAATTTATTTTTTGTATTTTTAGTAGAGATGGGGTTTTGCCGTGTTGGCCAGGCTGGTCTCGAACTCCTGACCTCAAGTGATCTGCCCACCTCGGCCTCCCAAAGTGCTGGGATTACAGGCATGAGCCACCATATCTGGCCTGTCTTTTCCTTTCTAATACTTATGGCTCTTATTTATTTTTCTTGTTTAATAGCTTGGCTGAGACCTTCAATACAATGTTGAAAAACAGTAACAACTAGAGCATTTGTATATTGTTTCTCACTTGGGGTGCCTCTGGTCCCTCCCTGTCGAGTGCATTTGCTATTGATTTTGGATAGACGGCCCTTTTCTACTTAATGGTTCAGTCTAGTTCTGGCTGACTCTGATTTTTGTTTATTTTAGAGGCTTTTTTTTTTTTTCCATCTTTCATTCATGCAACAGACCTTCAGTGAGCTGATTGCCAGGACTACACTCATACTGTGGTACCAAAGAAAAATTGACATGGTTCCTACTCAAAAGGAGTTCGTGGCCTGGTGGAAGATAGATAGAAGCAGGCAAATAGATCCTTATCCTTAGGCCATGGGGCGTGCATTCAATCACCATCTGCTGGCACTGTGCCGGGCACCAGGAATGGGCACTATTCAGACAGGCCCCCATCACAGTCTGATGGGATCTAAGCAGCTCACATCCCCTCTCACTCAAGTTCCCACAGAGTAGTTGTAATGGTGAGCTGAGGTTTTCTCTGCTGCAGAGGCCAGGTGGGTAAGTAAACAAAAGTGCCCAAGAGCTAATCCCCCGGAGCAGCCTGAAACCAAGGAAGAGAGAGAGTTGGTAGACATATGCCCAGCTCCCTCACCCCTTGCATGGGACAACCATGGCTTGTGTTTTCTGCCAGCTCTCAACTGAAGACTGAGCCTCAGTTGCCTACAGAAGGAACCCACTCATTAACCCACCTATCTCCTTTGACTGCCTTTCCTTCCCTGTCTCACCCCCTCTCCCGTTTTACATCAGTAAGTGTGAAGGCTGAGATTTTATCCAACTTTCTTTTTTTTTTTGAGACAGAGTCTCACTCTGTTGCCAGGCTGGAGTGCAACCTCTGCCTCCCGGGTTCAAGCGATTCTCCTGCCTCGGTCTCCCCAGTACTGGAACTACAGGCACAGGCCACCACGCCCAGCTATTTTTTTTTTTTTTTTTTTTTTTTTGAGACAGAGTCTCACTCTGTCGTCCAGGCTGGAGTGTAGTGGCGCTATCTTGACTCACTGCAAGCTCTGCCTCCTGCGTTCACGCCATTCTCCTGCCTCAGCCTCCCGTGTAACTGGGACTACAGGCACCCACCACCGCGCCCGGCTAATTTTTTGTATTATTAGTAGAGACGGGGTTTCACCGTGTTAGCCAGGATGGTCTCGATCTCCTGACCTTGTGATCCATCTGCCTCGGCCTCCCAAAGTGCTGGGATTACAGGCATGAGCCACCACACCAGGCTTATCCGACTTTCAAGCAAACAAGTTAGTCTGTCATATTCTCAAGGATCATGGCAGAAGGCACAGAACTCCTGGTTCAGAAAGAGACAACAGATTATTGTTTACAGTAACGGCAGTAGACAGAGTAAAACCATTTTCTTGCACCACTTCCTTGAACCTCAGTTCCCACAGAGTGATGTGTTGATGGCCCGGTGATGCCTGCATATGCATTGGGTTGCATTACAGTGGAAAAACTGTATGCTGAATTTAGGGGACCCACATCTTGTATAATAAGCTGCAAGCAAACCTGCCCAGGTGGGAGATGTTATCTTTAGTATATGGGACAATAAACAAATCTGCCTTTTGCCCTGGAGGGAGATACTACCTCTATCTTCTAACGCTACTCACTATAATAATCACCCTTGTAAAGATAGTTTAGAACAAGGGCAACCAGTGCCTCTACTGGCAAATGTGCAGAAATAGGAGAGAACCATGGGGAACTGTCTCTCAATACCTTACTGGTGCTTCTTGGCATTACTTCCCAAATAATCTATTTGCATTTGGATGCTTGTCTTAGAGTCGTTTCTGGGGGGAAAAACCCAAGATGGAGAGATAGCACTATATAGGCATCGGTGTATTTCTGGGGTGACTCTCTTTCCTCCAGACCTGTCCTGCAAACATCACAGGGGAGCCACACAAAGGAAGAGGTTTCCACACCTAGGATTGATACTGCTGGGACTTCAGGGCAGGTGCTCTAAAGGACTCTTAGAATTTCATTTTTAATGTTTAATATTTGGTCCATCTAGAATTTATGGTGGAAAGTGTGAGGTAGACATTGCACTTTTTTTCCCTCCAAGTTGCTCCAGTATCACTGACTGGAAATTGTGCTTAGTCTCTTACCACTTTCTTCTAATCCGCCTGTGGCCTGTTCCTTAGAGTATATCACAAACATACAAGTGATCAATTTCAAATAAATTGATTAAAGAATTCATGTGCATTCCCATCACTGGGATTTGACACTCAGTGCTGGTGCATTGTGAGACAAACCCAAACACCCACACTCATGATAACATGCGTTCTAGGGCAACGCATGGAGGTTGTGCTTTGGCTAACTGCAGAGCAAACACTACTTCAGCCTTCACAGAGAATTTGACTGTGAATACTGAAGATTTCTTTTCTTCTCTCTCTTTCTTTTTGAGAAGAGTTTTGCTCTGTCACCCAGGCTGGAGTGTAGTGGTATAATCATGGCTCACTGCAGCCTCGAAATCCTGGGCTCAAGTGATCCTTTGGCCTCAGCCTCCCAAGTAGCTGAACTGCAGACATGCCCTGCCATGTTTGGCTAATTTTAAAAATATTTTTTGGAGAGAAAAGGTCTCACTATGTTGTCCAGGTTGGTCTTGGACTCATGGACTCAAGCGATCCTCCTGCTTTGGCCTCCCAAAGTGCTGGGATTACAAGTGTGAGCCACTGCACTCTGCTAAGGTTCCTTTTTATAAAAACATTTAGCAATATTCAATAACAATTTCAAAAAGTTAAGTAAAATTTTAGTTTGAAATCTTCTTTTTTTTTTTTTTTTTTTTTAATGAGACGGAGTCTCGCTCTGTCGCCCAGACTGGAGTGCAATGGCCGGATCTCAGCTCACTGCAAGCTCCGCCTCCCGGGTTTACGCTATTCTCCTGCCTCAGCCTCCCAAGTAGCTGGGACTACAGGCGCCAGCCACCTCGCCCGGCTAGTTTTTTGTATTTTTTAGTAGAGACGGGGTTTCACCGTGTTAGCCAGGATGGTCTCGATCTCCTGACCTCGTGATCCGCCCGTCTCGGCCTCCCAAAGTGCTGGGATTACAGGCTTGAGCCACCGCGCCCGGCCTGAAATCTTCTTAACTTAAATTTTAATACAATTATAACTTATAGTTTGTTTTGCCTCAATTTTACTAGGTGATTTTGATTATTTAAAAAATAACTTTTTAGGCTGGGTGTGGTGGCTAACGCCTGTAATCTCAGCACTTTGGGAGGCTGAAGTGGGTGGATCGCTTGAGCTCAGGAGTTCAAGACCAGCCTGAGCAATGTGGCGAAACCCTGTCTCTATACAAAAATTAGCCAGGTGTGGTGGCAGGTGCCTGTAGTCTCAGCTACTCAGGGAGGCCGAGGTGGGAGGACCCCTTGAGCCCAGGAGTTTGAGGTGTCAGTGAGCTATGATCACACTACTGTGCTCCAGCCTGGGTGACAGAGCAAGACCACTCCCTCAAAAAATAATTACAATTAAGGCCAGGCGTAATGGCTTATGTCTGAAGTCCCAAAGCTTTGGGAGGCCGAGGCGGGAGAATCCCTTGAGCCCAGGAGTTTGAGAGTAGCCTGGGAAACATGGCAAAACTCCATCTGTACAAAAAATACAAAAAAATTAGCAGGATGTGGTGGCACACACCTGTAGTACCAGCTACTTGGGAGGCTAAGGTGGGTGGATCACTTAAGCCTAGGAGGTCAAGGCTGCAGTGAGCCAAGATTGCACCACTGCACTCCAGCCTGCGCAAAAGAGTGAGACCCTGTCTCAAAAAATAATGATAATAATTAAATTAATTTTAAAATAAAAGTAACTTTTTGGACTATAACATATTTTGAAATTTTGCTATATCTCATTTAACATATTTTTATGTTATTTGAATGTAATATTTTATTTCATTATTTTATTTATTTATTTATTTATTTATTTGAGATGGAGTTTCACTCTTGTCACCCAGGCTGAAGTGCAGTGGTGCAATCTCGGCTGACTGCAGCCTCTGCCTCCTGGGTTCAAGAAATTCTCCTGCCTCAGCCTCCCAAGTAGCTGGGATTACAGGTGTGCACCACCACGCCTGGCTAATTTTTGTATTTTTAGTAGAGATGAGGTTTTACCATGTTGGCCAGGCTGGTCTTGAACTCCTGACCTCAGGTGATCCACCCACCTTGGACTCCCAAAGTGCTGGATTACAGGTGTGAGCCACTACATCTGGCCAATATTTTATTTTAGTCTTTTTAAAAATTATTATTTTTTTTTTTGTAGACAGAGTCTTGCTCTGTTGCCTAGTCTGAAGTGCAGTAGTATAGTCATAGCTCACTATAAACTTGAACTGCTGGCCTCAAGCAATCCTGTCACTTTGGTTTCTCAAAGCGCTGGGATTACATGTGTGAGCCACCATGTCCAGCCTTATTCTAATCTTTTGAATCATTACCATGAAAAGAACAGTAATAGTGTAGAAGTCTTGACTGTAACAACATAATCAGTCGTTTTACTAGAATAAAGATGAGGAGAATCAATGTTACAGAATAAATACAGAATGTCTTAGGCATTAGGCAAGTCTTCATTCTCTCACTTAAACCTCAGGTCACTGAACACCTGGACATGAGTGATAATTATTAAGTTCCATCATTTTGGATATCTGCTGACTTTCAGACATAAAAACCATAGATTTACAGATGTTTTTACTGCTATGAAAGCTTATTTGTTCAGTAGGAAGATAGAACACATTTTATTAGCAGCTTGATTTATGGTTGTTTAATATTTAGACTCTGGTATATGGGCCTCCATTTGTCCTTTTGCCTGGAGCACTGCAAACATCAAGGCCTGTGCTCCAGTGTGCCCACAGGTACTTCTCGCTGCAAGAGAGACCAGAGAAAGAGCTGTCCTGGGGTTCATGTCTCCATGGGCTCATGGTGAAGCGGGAGCTGGAGGGGTGAGGTGGGATCCAGGGGAAGACTCCAAGGAGAAACAAAAATCACCAAGTCTACACATTTCCTTCTTACAAAGATTCCATAAGGAATATCACTTGATAACATTGTCCCCAAAACAGAGGTGGAGGCCCGGTGCAGTAGCTCACATCTGTAATCCTAGTGCTTTGAGAGGCTGAGGCAGGAGAATTGCTTGAACCTAGGAATTCAGACCAGCCTGGGCAACACGGTGAAACTAGATCTGTACAAAAAATTAGTGGTGTGTGGTGGCACACACCTGTAGTCCCAGCTACTTGGGAGACTGAGGTAGGAGGATTGGTTGAGCTCAGGTAGTAGAGGCTGCAGTGAGCCAAGATTGTGCCACTGGACTCCAGCCTGGGCAAGAGGGTGAGACCCTGTCTCAAAACCAAACCAAACAAAACAAAACACCAAAAACAGAGTGAGAAACTGAGGCTCAGAGTGGGTTCATGACTTGCTCAAGTCACGACGCAGGATACCTAGTTCTAGAACCACGTGCAGCAGGGCACCGGAGTCCTCTGCAAACCCATAGCTCTTTTCACTCAGGTCAGATGGTCCCCAGGTCAATTTCATCCACAGCAGGTTCTTTCCAGCCACAGCCAGCCTGACCTGGGTGCAGGCACCAAGGCCTCTAAGTGACAGAGAATGCAGCATTCCCGCCCACTGCCAGCTGCCCCAGGTAGCCTTTGAGAACTGGCCACTGCAAAGTACAAGCACAGCAATGACCTGTGTCCTTGGGTTGCCCCACTGCCCTCCTACAGGGGTGGGAGGACCTCTCTGCCATAGCCCCACCTCACAGCTGCCACCCACCCACTGGGTCCTAGCCCTTCTTAACCCCAGCATCGTCCCTGCCTTCTCTGTGACATTGGGGTGGGTGGGTAACAAGCTTGGCGCTGTGCTCAGTGAGGGCCAAAGAGTGACCTGAGGGTGGGAGGGGAGAGGCAAGTTCTTGCTGACACCCCTGTCCAGCCTTGGCCAGGGGAGGTTCTCCATTCTGAAGGTAAATGGGTCACAAGTGGTTAAAAGGTTGTCCTAGTGCCTCCCAGCTATGCGACCCTAACGTGCTCATTCAGCACCCTCAGCCAGACTTCCAGTCCGCTGCTCTGACAATGCTGCCCTTGGGATCCTGTGATGGGAACACTCATGGCCATTCCCTTGAAATGTGGCCAGACTTCAACTCAGTCCCAGACAGGTGTCAGTGCCCACCCACTGCAGCCTCTCCTCCGCATTCTCCAGGCCATTCTCCAACAGGCTGGATGCATATCCTGGGTGGCTTGATGCTGACGCTGGGGCCTAGCTGTGGGACGGGGAACTGTGGGTGAGACAAGGTTGGCCTCTAGTGACTAGAGCCAGAGGCTGCCTGCCCACCAGCAAAGAGGGCTCAGTGAGCAGGGCCTGGCACTGCTGACCCCACCTTGCTTTCCTTCCTACTCTCCCTTGGAACTTCACACCCCCGGCTGCCCACTGGCCTAGGCAGGACACTCCTGTCTAACCTCCTGCTTTCACTGTGGACCTACACCCACATGCTACCTCCACAGGTACACATGCCCTTTTTTTCTCTGCTAACACCTGTTTCTCGTCGTCCACTCTGCCAGGCTGGACACTGGGCACTTCAGAGGTCATGCCAGATCCAGCACAGACATGGAGGAGTCTAAGGAGGCACCTGCAGTCAGGGAGGGCTTCCTGGAGGCAGAAACTCAAGCTAAGGGCTCAGCACCCTCTCCCCCCACTTACCCCAGGTCATTGGCTGTCCTCTGAGCCTCACTCCCTGGAAAGGCCAGCAGGTTCCAGGAAGTGTCCCCTCGCCCTGCAGTGCTGGTTCCAAGAACTGCAGCTCTTGGCAGCATTTGCTTAGGATCCTTTCCTAGAACTCAAGGCTTGCTCTGCCCAGACTGCTGGGGTCTCAGAGGGCAGCCAGTGGGGGTAGTGGGGGAAGGGGGTGCCCTGGGACATGTCTCTGCAGGGAGAACATCCCATGGACCAGACACTGGGAGGTGGACCTAGGCTGTCAGCCAGGAGTGGTTGGCCACACTAGGGTGGGAGACAGGAGGTCGGTGAAATGCGGGTGCTTTGACTCCAGTCAACCATGGGGTGCGGGCCCATGAGTTCTCCCTGCACAAAAAGGAGGCTCACTCCCTAGGTCCAGAACTTCCACCAGCTTGCCACATGTCACCCTCCACGCCCCCATCTCTCCTCCCCCCGCTAGCCTGGTACCAGGGTCCCATACAGAATCAGCACAGGTCTTACCCTCAGAATAGGCTCTCATCAGATAACCTCCAGAGGACAGGCCAGGGTGCAGGACAGGCAGGTTCTGAGCAGGGAAGGGGGATGGGATCGTCAGTCTTGGGGCCCTTGGAAGGCCATGACAATTGTGTTATTAATCCTGTTATGGTTTTACCTTGCCTGGTTAGAACTGCGTAAATCACCCCACCTCACACCCCCCAGCAAGTTGGGTCAGGTGAATGGGGGACAGACCCTGATAAGTGGTCAAGGACAGGCCCCAACTTCCCTCAAGGTCACTGGGCCTTCCCCTGGGGTGTGTCCTCCACCCGCCACCTCTGAGCTGGCACCAGGCCTGCCCAGCTGCCTGGGACCTGCCAGATCACGTTGAGCAACCAGTTCCTGAGAAGCGTTGAAGGCAGTGTGGTTTAAAATTAACTCCCCCGCTTCCCCTCCCGCCTGCGGCCTCCTCTGAGTTCTTGGAAGAGGCGCTCTGCTCTTCCTGGGAAGAGGCCTCCAGCCGCAGCTGCTGCAATTCTGGCGAAAACACCTCACCCAGGCTGGGGGTGGGGGGTGCCCACGCCAGGCCTTCTCTGCCCTCCGCAAGGCCCAGGGGTCCTCTGGAAGCTAGCTTCCACCCCAGTTACTCACTGAGACTCAGAAGAGAAAGGGGGTGATTGTCAAGGTGCTGGGAGGGGCTGCTCCTGCCCCCAAAGTCCACAGCTCCCAACCAGGCGCCTCTGGGCAGGAGAGAGAGTGAACTGATCCCACAACTGCAAACCCAGGACCCTGGCCTACTCTGAGCCATATATGTCCCGGCAAGATGCAGCAACTTGCCTAGGGCCACCCAGCTTTGGCTGCCCTTATAAGCTCAGCCTGCCCACTAGGTGCCAGGCTGATGGTGCTGATCTGGCAAGGATGCCCGGGAGCATGCCCCCGCAGGCACTCACACACCAGGGTTAACAGTGATCTCTGCCAGGGGTCTCTCCTTGTCTCTCACCCACACCCCTCGAACTGCCCTTGGAACACCTCTCCTTCTGGTTAAGCCTCATTTTCTCATGTCTCGTGGGCTCCGTGTCTCTGGGGCTTTGGGGGAAATGTTTCCTGAGAACCTACTCTCCTAGTAGCTCCTCCTCCCACAGCCATCCACTTGAAGGAGCTGAGAAAAACAAAGGCATGTTGGCCAAGTGGAAAGGTCAGCACACGCACGCACGCGCGTGTGCGCACATACACACACACATACATGTGATGTCGCTGACATGAGGCTGGTAGGGGTGGGAGCAGTGAAGTGCTTCCTGGGAGGAGGCTGAGGGTTGGGAGGTACTTTGAAGAACAGAGCTTTGGCCCAGTCTGGACTATGAGTGCAACCCCCACCTCAGGTGGAGGAGCCCAGCTCCAGTGACAGGAAGGGCTCCATCTGGCTCATGGGTGCTGGGTGTGGGGAGTCCCTGGAGCAGAACTCTGCCCTGAGGAGCATTTGCCGGATACCACCCTCCCACCAAGCATGCCATCAGGGCATCATCGGTGCCAGCACAAGCATCTCACTAGTAGGGTCTGTGTGGGTGAGACAGTCCTGGAGGGCTGCCTGGAGGAGTCATGGCAGTCCTAGGTTGTAGCCCTCAGAGGCCCTGCCTGCTTTACTGAGGCCCGGGTCATGGAAGCAACTGTCTTTCCACTGAGCAGGAAGCTTTGACCACATCACAAACGCTCCCCTGCCCTGGGCCTGCTGTGTCTCCTCCTGCTCAGAGCATCAGTTTCCATTCACTCTCCATTCTCCAGCATCGAGGCCCAGCCACTCTCCAACCACTCTGAGGTCTGCATTCTGACCAAAATTAAACCTCCAGGGACCTCCTCTAGCTTGAGTCTCAGATGTGGGAACTCCAGCCTGCTGCCCCAGAGTGACTCTTGGAGTGACCCCTTGGGTGTTCCACGTGAGCCAGGGAGGGGTAGGGAGGACGCATCCACCATGAGAGGCTGTTGAATTTCCGGCAAAGCTCAAGCCTACTTTATATTAAAACTGGTCTAGCAGGTTGGTGTCAAAGGCTGCCCAGGCTTGCACAGGGCCTACTTCTCCTGGAGGAAGAGGGCCTTTATGAGAGCCCAGGAAGTCTGGGATGTCCTGTGCACAGACCCTGAGTCTTCCTGCCTTCATAGTCAGGCCTCTAGGCCTTTAGGCCCCCGGCCCCTCACCTTCCACTTCACTGTGGGCAACCGTGCAGGATGGAAGGGTCCCCATCTGAGAGTGAGGTGGGCCTAGTCATGGCCCCCAGCCCCACTCAGATGTGTGTTCAGACTTGGCCAGGAGAGATTTGCTCAGTCAGTAGATTAAAAGTCCAGCCTAGGTGTAGGTGCAGGGACCTAGTGAGATGTATACACTGGTACCAATGATACCCCAGTGGCGTGGCTTGAAGGGGGCTGGTATCCAGCAAATACTCCTTGGGGGCAACAAGAAATACCTGGATGGCTTAGTAGCATCTCTGTCCCAAGGTCATTCCAGAGGGAGGCTTGTGAATCCAGGGAGGGACACCACACAGAATCAATCTCCAAACCCATTTCCCACCTGGAGACAGAATCCTCTAGGGCCCAGCCCCTAGACCAACTCTTCTAGAAAGCCCTCCTGAATCTCCCCACCCTTCTGCATGCCTTCTGAACCTGTGGGTGCCTAGGCTTTAGCAAGCCAGCCCCTTGGAGGCAGAATAGAGCAGTGGTTACATAAACAAGGTCTGGAATCAGGATGTGAACTCTGGCTCTGCCTCTCACCATCCCTCTCTGAGCCTTCCCTCTCCAGCTGTAGATGAGGACAGCCTCTGCTAGTGGAGCAGGAACCCCATCCAGAGTCACAGAATTGCTGCCCTCACCTCTTCCTGCCCCTGCTCCCACACTCTACCCTCCAGATCCTTCTTTCTGGCCTCCTGCCTCCAGGCCCTCATGAGTACAGATACCTCCCTTAGAAATGAGGTTCAGATCACAGCACTCCCCTGCTAGGCTCTGAAGAGGTGCTTCGCCATCCTCAAATAAAATCCACCTGCTTCCTTTGCCCTTCTCGCCCCTTCTGGGCAGCCATTCTGGGCTCTAGGTTTCTGCCTCAGGGCCACTGCACTTGTAGTTCCTTTCACCTGGGACATCTCTTCTGCACGTTGTCTGCATGACCAGCTCCTGCTCTTTGCTTGGGTCTCCAGGCTCAGTGCCACCCAAAGTTGCAGAGCTATCCCCAACGCCCTCCCAGCTGTAGGGTGTCCCTGTACCCAAAGTTACTCTCCCCGCACCCCCCTGCTTTTCTGTCTTTACACTCTCAAAGCTTGTCCTGTGCACCCATTTGTTCACTAGTTCACTCTCTGTCTCTCCCACTAGCCCATGAGCCCCATGAGGGTGGGGACCGTGTCTGTCTTGTTCCCTGCTGTCCCCAGGACCTAGATGGAGTCTGGCCCAGTTGGTGCCTTTGGAGCATGTGTGCTGGTGGAGGACTTAACGGTAAAGTGTGACCTTCGTTACTGTTTGTATGTTGTGCAGGGTCCTTGCACCCACCAGAAAGCTCATCCCTTTGTTCCTGGCTAGTGTCAACATATGTGCCCCTTTTCCTAGGCCAGGACCACCCAGTGGTGATCATGTTGGCCAGCGGATCTTCAGTATCTGTTAGGCTGAATCTCTGATTGGGGTCTGGGCAGGCATCATTCGCTACCCTGGTAGGGAAACAAGAAAAGATGGAACCTGGAGCATGTTGGGAGTCAGAAGTAGCTGGCAGCCCCTCCCCAGATAGGAGCTGGGCCCTGGCTTGAGCTGAGGCCAGGGTGAAGAGAACAGGACCTTGGTGGCCAGGCCAGTGGCCAAGAGCTCTCAGCAGGCAGGGAGACCAGGAGATAGAAAACAGCATCCAAGAGCAACTTGCCTGGAAGCCGTCATCCCTGTTCTCCCTATCTCATGTAGTAATCCAGAGGACAAAAGGTCAGTCAGGACCCCCCAGGGTTGGCTCTGCTCTGAGCCCCACTTGCTGAGTGGCCTTGGTCAGCCCCTTCCCCGCTGTGTGCCTCGGTTTCCTCATCTGTGGAGCGTGGGTAATATTTGGACTTGACTCCCACAGTTGTGGTGAGTGCTGTATGAGGTGCAAGCCCTCGGCCCATGCCCAGCACCTGGCAGGCACCTTGAGGCTTTTCTCTCTGTGGACAAAGCAGTTTTCTGTGCTTCCTCTCACCACAGCAGCTTTCTGTCCAGGCTGCAGCACCAGGTGAGGAAGAGCTTGACACTGGCCCCTCTGTGTCCACTACCCGTCCACTAGGTGACAAATCTGGGGTGAAGCAGACAGAGGGGTTACCTCAGGTATTCTGGAAGCAATGAAGCAGCTGAAATTCAGACTGAAGGAATGAGGAACTGCAAATACCCCTGGCTGGGTCATGGTGACCTGAAGGAAGTGTGCCATCTGGCCCTACAGACAGCCAAGTGCCCAGGCTGCCGCCAGCAACAGGGAAGGCACGTGGCTGGCCACCTGGGTCTGGGCGCCACATCCAGGAAAGACACCCTCCCTCCATCACCCACCTCTTGCCCACTCTCACCAAACGTCAGGCCTATTCTTTGCCATGACAGCCTCCATGTCCCCAGGGTCCTGTGTGAACTCCAAAGTTCTTGCTGTCTATCCTCGTCCTCACCCCTCCCTGTCATCAGCCTGTCACTCCTCACCCCTTCTTGCTCTCAACTTGCCAACAAGTGTCTCTTCTACTCTAAGACTTCTAATTGCTTGAGGGCTGAGACGACAGGAAGGTTAGGATTGTTTCCAGAATAAAGGTTAGAAAGCTTTAGAGAAGCTTTCCTGTGGGGCCCTCAAGCAAAGGTGCAGAACACTTCAGGACATAGGGAGATTGCAACAGATAGTGTTCCAAAGTCAGACTGTCTGGTAAAGGAGGGTGTTTTCATTGTAATTGCTCTTCCACACACTTGTGGTGTGCTGAACCCTGAGAGAGAAGAAAGGATGCCCCAATTCCAACCAGTGTGGACCAGAATCCAGACACTCCCACCCCAGGCCAGACTCCGCCAGCTCACTGGCCCCTACCCCGATTCAGTTGCCCTGCCCCACTGCAGAGCAAGCCCTCCTCAGGTCTGTGTGTCAGGAACACGGGCCTCCCAGTCATGCCTCGGTGCCTTTGCACTCACTGTACCTTCTTCTGGGAGAACAAGCCCTAATCTGACTACTGGCTTCCTCATCTCAAGACACTGACCCCAGGAGGGGTCCACAGCTCTCTCCCCCTGGATATTCTCCACTTGTGATTTGGAGTTGGCATTTCTTGTTTACACATCTCTCAGGGCTCGTGCCCCTCTGCCAACCTCCCCCCAGCCCCCGCCTGGTAGTGGCCAGGACAATCACCCTGCAGGCAGTCTAACTGGCCTTCGTCTCCTAGCTCCCATTTCCCAAGGGGACCCAGGGGAGACGACAGGAGAGGCTGCTCCCTGTCTCTTCCATTCCTCAGTGAGTCCCCAGCAGGGACTGCTCAGCCACATAGGGTTTCCGGGCCTCTCCACTAGCCCAGATATCAAATGAGGGCTAATGGTAACAAGATCAAAGGGGACACATTGTGTACACAACTCAAAAGTGGCCCCATTGAAGGCTCCATACATGAAAGGTATCATTTTATTATAGAGGTAATAAAATAAAGAGGTAATAAAGGTATAATATCATTACAGAAATATCAGTGGAAAAGAAAAGACCACCAAGCTGTTCTTTGTTATAATTATTATTTCATGAAGTCTTATCAGATGTGTATTTCTCTCCTTCTCTCACGTGCAGGCACCTTCCTGGGCAGGAAGCAGACCCAGCAGAACTGCAGCGGCGGCCCTCAAACCAGCACCCCCTCTTCCTGACAGCACAGGCATTTCCCCAGGGCCTGTGCCACAGTGAGACCAGCTCTATGCAGACACAGCTCTGTCCTGTGAGGGGGTGAGACACAGGCTCTGCTGGGGACTGAGGCTCTGGCTGCATTTTCTTATCTATTGTAGTTGTCCATCCTCCCCAAGTATGGCTGGGGGCAGAAAAGAGTGAACACATTCACAGACAGGTGGGTCAGTGCCAGGACATCCAGGATTGCCTTGGTTCCAGCAACATGTCTCAGGGAAGAACCAGAGAAGCCAGGGCAGAGTTAGGGTCTCTGGACTACCAGGGCTCAGGGCATAGAGGTGGGCTTGGTTCACCCCTGACACCAACCCCAAGGAGAATAAATAAATAAATAGTATATAATTGTACAGTCCCCTAGCCTGGCTTACCCCTCAACAAGGGGTCACTAGTCATGGTTGACCTCAGTTCCTCTGCCTGTCATCCTCCCAGAAATGGAGGCTGGCTGCTGGTAGGAGTCCTACCCGACCCTGGGGATTGAAAAACCAGGTCTGAGAGTGCCCATACAGTTCAGGTGGCCAGGGCAGGCAAGCAAGTGGAGGTCTGGGCCCAGCCCACAGGTGAGACAAGGTCCTGCCTGTCTCCCCATCCTCTGACACATGGCTCAGTGTAATGAAGCCACATGGGGCCTGGGGGCATTTACCTCCAGGTTGTGTGACACCTCCCCTCTCCCATGCTTTGTTCTTGCTGGCTCTTCCTGGGCCAGCTGCCAGAGGTATGCAGGCACCAGGATGCCTGGAGGAGGGACAGTGGGAGCCCAAGTCCAGCTGGGGCTGATGTCCCCTCCAGGGTGTGACTGGGTGAGGCTGGGCAGGGTGCCCGGCCCAGTCAGAGCTGGAAGGGGTACTGTCGGAGGTAGTCGGCCATGCGCCGGGGCAGTGGCAGGCAGTCCACGTCGGTCACCAGACGGTTGATGACAAGGCGGCACAGGTGTTGCAGGCTGCGGGCACTGCTTCTGCGTACAAAGGGCTGCACCAATTTTAGGTGTACAGCAGTGGCTGGTGGAGGAGCAGGCAGTGCTGGATCATTAGGCGCATCTTCCTTAGGCATAGGCAGGGCCGGGGTGGGAGCAGGATCGGGGCTGTCGCTTCGGGTGTCAGCAGCGCAGGAGGCCACATAGTGCTGCACAAGGCTGACCACATCCGGAAAGGCCAGGATGCGTGGCCTGGACAAGCAGTTGGAGTCCAGACGGAAGCTGGAGTCAGCATACTCAATGCGCACATTGGTGGGGCCACGAGCAGTTTTCACTGACAGCGTGAACAGGTAGCTGGGGTGGGTGCTGTCACGTACTAGGAACGTGCCCTCTGGCATCTTCTGCAGGTGTTGCCGGGCCTCGCTGGCCGTAATGGAACCCCAATACCAGCCTAGGCAAGTGCAGAGGGGGACAAGGGACATAGTGGAAATTAGCTGGGGGTACCAATCCAGGGTAAATCAAGGCAGTGCCTCTCGCTTCACACTTCCCTGGAGAGGGCTGTGCCTCTCCCATCAGACTCTCCTGGGCAGGGCTATGCATCGCAAATCAGACTCAATGGCAGAACTCAGCTTCTTCCACCAGACCACCCAGGAAAAGGCCTGCCTCCCCCCTCAGACTCACCAGATTCCCGAAGGTAGGAGAAGGTCTTGGCTATGCACAGCAGATCCTCCTCGGGGTCCAACACCTTTGGCTCACTCTCTATCTGGGCTGGGGTCCCCTCTGCCACCTCCTCCAGGAAGGCCCCAGCAGGCAAGGGCTGCATGACTGTCTCGAGCAGTTCTAGGGACTGGGCCCACAGGGGCCGCTGCCCAGTCCGCTCCACAGCCAGCAAAGGACGAGGTCTAGAAAGCAGTGGATGAGCAGTGAGTGGAGGACCCATGCTTCTCCCATCTCCAGAGACCCCCCTATGCCCCAGACTAGTTGCATGACCTCTGGCTGGCCCATCTCACTATAAGCCTCAGCTTCCCTTCTACCCAGCCATGGGCTCAGTTAGTCCAGTATCTCATTCCCCACTTGTCATCACAAAAGCCCCCTTGTTTCCATGTGGGGATCCTCTTTTGAAAGATTCTTTTCCACTGCCCTGCATTTACTAAACAGTAATTAATCGATCTCTATTTTACATCAACCAAAAACACAGATCATTCCCTATAGGCATTTCTAATGTTCTTGCCACACTGATAGGATTCAGTGCAAAGTAGCTTCATGTTTGTGCCCTCCTGGCTGAGGTGGGCTGACTAAGTGGCCCACTGATGAACAGTCCTAGTCGAGCGATAGATCTACGATAGACAGGTAGATTTATCCTACAATAGATCTATGTGGGGTCCTCCAGAGAATTCCCAGGATTATGGTAGGCTGCCTGAGGTCACATGCTACCTCCCCATGGATAGGAGTGTCTCTCAGAGGGACCTAGGTCCACAATGGCCAGGACATAGAGACTGAAATAATCCCCTACCCATACAAGTCAGCCTATCCTGGCCTCTGCTTCTCCCAGTGGAGGGTCTGGGGTGGACAGTGGCCTCTAAAGGCACTGGCAAGTCTCACCTCCTGTCAGTATGAGCTTCCACCAAATAGCAGGGACCTAGCCCACACTCCAGATCCCACCCTGGCAAGCCAGCCATATCAGGCTCTATGATCTTGTACAAAGCTTGCTCTTCACTGGGCTTCAGTTTCTCTTTCCCAAAATAAAGGGTCCCATGAACCCATACACTGAGAGGGTCAGTAACACCATATTCTTGGATGGCTGGGGTTGAGGGAACTAAACTGACCAAATTCTGAGTAAGGGGATTTCTCCTAGGGGAAGCCCACCCAGCATGGTGATACTAGGGCTTCCTCCTTGGGAAAGCAGCAGGGACTGGCTCTACTTCCCCAAGAAGACTGCTGCTCCTCCCTCACTCCTTGCAAAATACATCTCCAAGCCTCAGTTCTGGGTCTAGTCCCTGGCTGGGCCTCAGGACACTGAGATAATGAAACCATGGCCTTTCCCTCAAGGACAACCAGACTGGCTGGGGAAGATGGCACTACGAGTAATTATAATGCAAAGTCATAAAACTGCAGGTGTTGTGGGGGAGTCAGGGTCTGCTTGCTCCTGAGCTGAGTCTTCCAGGACAAAGGAAGGAGCTGGGGGAAGGTACCCCAGGCAGAGAGGACAGCATGGGCAAACAGCGCCAGTATTGCTTGTGAGGCAGGGAGGGGTAGGCAGGAGCCGGTAGCAGGAGCCAGACCTGACTCCTGTGTAGGTTATAGGTGACGCTCTAGGTTCTAATAAATCATGGCCCTATGATCACTCACAGTGAGAAAGGCCACACAACTCTGGCACACCACAGACTGCTAAAAACTGTTCCACACCTACCCTGGCTGTACTGTGGGAGCTCGGAAATCCCTCTTGGAGAACTGGAGGCCAAATTTTGAGATGACCTGCCTGCTGGAGCCCAGAGCTACCTTCCCAGGGGCACGGTTGGTGGCTAGCCAGTCAGGCTGGAACCTCTGTGGGTGGCCATGTCCAGATAGCTTAGCCGGTCCTCAGACAGATTCCACCTGTGGGTGTGGGCACCTCTGGGGCTGACGTGGTAGCTGGGTGTATGAATAGCTGTGTTGATCACCACAAGCTCCTGGTGAGTGACTGTGTACCTGGGCAGGGGTGTGTCCATGGCTGTGTCATCATGGTGGGGACAGTGGCTGGTGTATTCTAGGTACATGTGTGTGCCTGCTTTGGAGCCCAGCAGTCTGTTAAAAACTTTGTTCCCCGACACCCAACACTGGCCCTGAGCTTATAAGGGGGTGCTTAGCTAGGGTAAAAAGTAAAAGAGCCTATGGGACCCCAGAATGCAGGGGGAGGCTCCTGGGGAGGAAGGTAGTGGTGGAGCAGGTGTTCAGGAGTCCCCGAATGCAGACAGGAGGAAGGAACTTGCTGGAGACAGCAAGGGAGAAGTAGTCTTCCCAGCACCTTCATGTCCTCTTCCCTGGCCTCACCTTCCACCCTCCCTCACTTGGCACCAGGCCAGTTGTGATAAGCACAGCCACCCAGTTCTCCCTGAGTGCAGAACACCCATTTATACCTTCTTCTTCTCTCCTTGGAGCTCCCTGAGCTCCTGTCAGATCACCATGGCCAGCATCAGACCCTTTGGTTGAAAGGGTTGCTCCCAAGAGTTGCTGACCATCAGGTGCCAGACTGAGGAAAGGCAAGGATCTCGGGCTGTCTTCCCAAAAAAGAAAAAAGAGCCTATTTGCTAGCCTGGGACAGGAGAGGGGACACCAGGACAGAGGGGGCCAGGGGCTGGTCCAAGGTTACTAGCAGGCAGGGCAGCCGGCAGGCTAGTGTAGAGTGCTCTGGGCCCAGAAGAAGATCTGGGATTGTTGGCCACATCTTGGTGGACGCCCTGCCGTTGGTGTCCATTTGCTCCAGTGAGAACCCAGGCTGAGCCCACCCCGTAAGTTCCTCCTGTAGCCAGCCAGCCCCCGGTTTCCCAATCCACAGTGGGAATTGAGGTGAGTGTGTGGGGGTGGGGAGTAGGAGTGTCACAGCCCCACACAGAGCCTCGCTCCCGAGGTCTGTCCGCGCTCAGTCACCTCTGGCCCGTCAAGCCCTCCCAATGCCCGGCAGCTAGCACATGGCCCCTGTTCTCCCGTGCGCCCCTCTTGGTGGCCAGGAGGGGGCAGAGAGCCGCGCTTACCCCTGAACGCAGAGGACCATGTCCCCGCGGCAGCGGCGACTCCGGAGTAGGGACTCGGCTGGACGGCGGCGGCGGGAAGGAACCAGTGGGCGCGGAGCGCGTGCAGGGTAGGCTCCCGGGGCGCGCGGGCGCAGGGCAGGGACTGAGAGGCAGTGGCGCGGACCGCCTGCGAGGGCAAGGTGGGGCGGGCCGGACGAGAGGGGCGGGGCGAGCTGCTGCCTAATCCTTTGTCTGCCGCGTCCCAGCCCTTCCCGGAAGCGGCGTCTTCCTAGAACCGCAGGCTGAGCGGTGGGGCCCGGGCGGGGTGCGCGGGCGCAGTCGCCGGGTCTGGGGCCCTGGGCAGTGAAAGGAAATACTTTGACAGATTTCCAAGAACTTTCCAGGAAAACGGGGCGGGGCCCTGCGAGCCGACCAATCGCGACGCTGAAGGTGGAGCCGAGCGGTCGGGGAGGGCCAATAGCAGCGCGTGGACCCGGGGCTGACGCTACCCAGCGGGGTAGGACGGAGAGATCAGTAGGGAAAGACCGGGTGGGGAAAGTTAAGGAGGGGCCCGGGCTCAGCAACCCGCGCCCAGATTGCCTTCTGGCATTCTGCGTCGTTGGGGAACGGCCCTCTTATCTCGCCGTGGAACTCCTGGCAGGGCGGGGGGCGGAGTCCCGGCCTGGTCCTCCCTGCTAGCGACTCCTCCAAGGAGGTCTGTCGGCGTGGGCAAACGCCCGGTGTTGGGACGGCCGCTCCTGGACCCTAGGACTCTGTGTGTCGGGTGTCGGATTGGGTGGCATGGGGTGAGGTCTGGAGCGGGACTTAGGGCAGGGTGGGGTGCAGAGTACGGTTCCAGAAATGAGTGGGTCCACTGGGGTCAAGCTGGCGGTCACCACAGCCAGAAAGATCCAGACAAGAACGTTTTCTTTGAGAGTTGAAGGAGAAAGCACATCCCAACTTTTCAAATTCTGGCCGGCCCGGCCAGTCAGGGGAGAAGAGACTACAGATTGAAGGAAGCAAGCAGAGACAGCCCCAGATGGCCCGGACTCTGCGTTGGTGCCCCCCCCCGCCCAAAAAAAAAATGCTGAGAGACAGAGTCCTGCAGCTCAAAACATTGGGAGATAATCTGGGAGCAGGGTAGTAGAGGTTGGGGCAGGGTGGTGGGGCAGAGTAGTAACACTCGCTCTTATCTACAGGGAGTACTTGCTGCATTTGATCCTCTACAACTGGTGTTGCTCCCGTTATGCAGACGGAAGACAGCCCCAGGGAACAAACGCTAGGAAATGGCAGGGTAAGAGCTTGATCCCAGCTCTGAATCAGAAGCCCACACTCCTACCAGGACCCTCTCCACCTGTTTCAGTTCACTGGATTCACTGTGGAGCATCTATGTGGGGTCTGTGTGACTCTCCTCCAAATCCTTGGGCCAGAAGAACTGTGGGATTTGGAGAGGTCGCAGGTCCACTCCCTACCCCTCACCCCCTCCCAGTGTGTGCACCCAGGGTCCTCAGAAAGGAGGCTAGCTTTGAGATCCTGGGCAGGGATGACAGACCCCTGGCTGTGTTGAAGGGCCTGAACGATAGTGTCCAGGGAAGACAGAGCTCAGCTTGCTCTGCCCAGAATGGCAGAAGGCAAGAGACCTGAAAGCAAAACCCTATGAAACTGGGGGAAAAATGGTTTAAGTTTCAGACTTCAGGGCAGTAACTTCTCTGCAGATTTCCTAAAGGGAAGCCAGGCTTCATCAGTGCAACTCTGCCAGCCCCCTCCTGAGTTGGTCAGAAGCCAGTTTCTTGGAATGAGGGTAGAGGGGATGGATACCTTATAACCCACCTTGAGGGGTGGGATACCTGGATAGCCTGGTATGGGGCCCCTGTGTGGACCACTGACTTGGCAGTAGGAACTGTCCACTGTCTCATTACTATGAAGACAAAAGGACTTTGCAGCTGCCAGGCAACAGAGTTACAATTTTGAACTTGGGTCTCTTATGGGGCCAAATCCCAGGCTCTCTACCAAAACTATACTTCTTACCCCTCACCATGACTATTCAACTGAACACTTACTATGTGCCAAGCACTCTCAGCAATTTGCAGCCTCATGTCATTGTCACAACTACCACATATTGTCTCCTCTTTACAGGTGTGGAAACTGAGGCATGGAGAGGTTACAATATACCCTAGATCTCCCAACTGGCAAGTAATGGTTGAAGTCAGGAGCCTACACACTTCCTCCTACTTCCTCTGTGGGTGCTGGTGATCTGCCGACTCCTAGACATCCAGCTTTAAGGTCCTCAGTGAAGCTTCTCTGCCCCCAGGCCTGTCAATGTGAGAGCACCATGGGTGTCCCTTTGAAAGCATCTCCTACAGAGGTCAGTGATTATGCAGTCTATGTGTAAACCAAAGGGTCCCAAGGGTTTTGGCCTTCCAACTAGTTTTGTGCATGCGTGACTATGACAGCACTGCGCACCTCACCTGCATGCTGGGAATAGTGATGTGCCCCTGTTCTGCCCCAAGTGCCTGCCTCAGGCATTGTGGGTCCCTCTGGCCAACTTAGTAGTTAATTCTCCTGCCCTGGCTGCTCCCTAGAAGCCCTGGCTCTGATTGCTGGGCCCACACTGCCACCTAGCGGTGCCACCTCTCATGCCCTCACTAGCCAAATCTCCATGGATTCCTCCCTTCTAGGATACCCTCCCCTGCACTCCGGGGATTAACCTTACTGCAAGATTCCCCTGCCCCTCCCTACCCAGAACAATCACAAAATGAGTCACAAGAATACACAGCAGTGCCTTCCCCAAAGTCTCCCTCATTTGTCCTCTATCCTTTCATCATGTGCAGCCTCCCCTCTTCAGGAAGGACATAATGTGTGTGTGTGTGTGTGTGTGTGTGTGTGTGTGTGTGTAGGATTTAGCCACCTTCACTTTAAGCTATTCCAAGGTCTCTGTCCCCTTGGACACACAGCTATATGAAGGGCTATGTGGCAGAGTCTGCCACCATGAACCCACTCCTGACCAGGCCTAGCCATCCCACATGCCAAATCCTCCCATCATAGTGGAGGGGATGTGGCAGGTGGTTGCTGGAACATGAGCACTAAGGGAAAACCACATATTCTGACTTTCCTGGGCTAAGTGAGTAGTTGCAAGTCATCTCTCTGATGGACCCATGTGGGGAATGCGTGTGCCTATGAATGCGTGTGCCTATGGAAACTGGTTATAGGGACTGGGAGGGGAGAAGCAGCACCTTTGCTTACTTTTCATACTTCTGTATAATTTGAATTAATGACAATGAGCAAGTTTTACTTATGCAATTTAAAATTTTAATAAAAAGAGACAAGCTTAAAAATACAATTATAAAATTTTTAGAGCAATTATACTCTAACTCCATTTTAAAGAAACGAGACATCTTCACATAACATTCAGTGAGATGCCTTTGGCTGAGGCAAGGAGCCAGCCTCCACCCTCAGCTGCCTAGCCTTCTACTCATCCAGAATGACATCTTGCTCAGCCTCAGGTTCACCAGGCTCAAACTAGTTGCCTTTACAGAGCAGAGCCTTCTTCAGTGCCCCCAGCAGTAGAAGCTTCCAGATCATAGGGCTTTCTAAGAGGCTCTGAGATCTTGAATCAGATTCTTAGGTTGGGCTCAGGGACATCAGTCCTGGGTCCAGCTGGGCATAAATGCGTGTGTGTGTGCACATGTGCATGTGTATCTGTGTACATGTGTGTTATATGAATGTGTATTTACACATGTATATTATATGCATGTGTATGCACATGTGTAAAGGTGTGACTGCATGTGTACATGTGTGAGAGTATGTTTGTACATGTGGCTGTGCGAGGAGCCAGAAAGGACTAGGAGAGGAGGCCATGGTTTGAGGATAAGAGCCCAGCCCTGAGGTTGTGCTTTGGAGTTGGAATGGGGGCTCTGTCATGACAGCTGCTGACCTCAGACAGGTCACCTAACCTCTCTGGGCTTTTCTGTCCTGTGTGTCTGTAGCGTGGGGCAGAAGAGATAGTGTGACCTCCTCCAGTCTCTGTAAGGTCAGGGGGTTCCAGGGAGAGCACCTACCCAGCATCTGGTCTACAAGAAGTGTTCACTATGGCCAGCTGAGGCTATTGTCTGGAGCCTCCTGCTTCACTGAATACTGCTAGCCTGAAGGTCGCTTGAAAGAAATAGGGGCAGAGCCCCCAAACCCTTCTCCACTCAACATCTGCACACAGTGGGTACCCACGAATAAGTTGTAGCATCCTTTCAGTCACTCATTCACTCATTCATTCAGAGGACGAGCATCTTTCCAAGGGCTACTTCTCTGATGAGGCTGGACATGCAGCCCAGGGGTCCGTGAGTGTGTGTGTGTTAACCAGTGGGGCTGAGGGGAAGGCGCTCACTAGGCCTAAATTCCGACGCCAGGAGTAGGATGGCTGGGAGATGCCTCTGAGTGGGACCGAGGTCCTGGTACCTGCAGTCCTGCAGATGGCCTGTAGATGACAGCAGAGGCCCACGCAGAGCCCCTGCCCTGAGCCGCAACCTTCCCAGTCCCAAGTGAACCAGCTCGCTCAGGTCCCTCAGCTTCCGGATTGGGGGAGTGATGTGCTGTGCGCGAGTAGCTCAGATCTGTCCCAGGAGACAGCCACAGCCACCCTCCCTATGGCTCTAGACAAGTTGTTTTCTCCCCAGGGGCCCCAGTTTCCTCATCTGTGAAATGAGAGCTGTTTAACAGCCGGTGTTGGGAAAACTGGCTCAAAATACATAATGTGGTCTAAGATGGGCTTAACAGAGACTTAAATGTGCAAGGCAAAACTAGAAAGCTAATGGAGAATATCTGTCACTCGGATGGGGGGCAGAGACTTTGTAAACACGACGCCAAAAGCCCAAACCATAAAGTGAAAGGTTGGCGGATCTGACTAAATGGCAACTCGGGATTTCTGGTCCCCAGGACGCTGTATATACCAAAGGGAAGCAACGAGTCAAGCGGGAGCTGCACAAAAGGGGGCAGTCG